TCTGTTTCCTCCCAGTTTACTACCAGTCCAACGAGTGGGCGGGGGTCTACGGCATCCGGGAGAAAGACCACGAAGCCTGGTCGGCCAAAGAGGACTGAAGCTGTCGGTCAGTTAACAATCAACAACAAACTGACAGCAGCCGCTACTTCCTCCTCTTCTTGTTCCCGAACGTCTTCCCTGCCGTCCTCGCTCGGCCGAACGCCTTCTTCTTGTTGAACATCGCCTTCTTCCTGCGCAGCGTCTTGACGTCGCGCCCCTGCATCCAGTCGTCCCGCTGAGCCTCCCACTTCAGCTGCTTCAGGCCTGCAGGGACAAACAGGGAAAGTTAGAAGAGACAAGTCAGCATCACTTCCTGCCTCCAGTGTTCAGGATCTGAATGCGAGCGCACACACGAGAAAGTCGATTTCTAAGCGCTGAGGAGTGAATGAATATATTTCTTACAGTTTAAATTTGACTCTACGGCACAGAGGAGGAAGATATCAGGCTTGTTAGTCGTTTTTGTTCTTTTATGGGATTTGTTGACAAAAGGAAACAAATTGAATATCACCATTTAATTGTAGAGGAATTTGGTCTTATTCTGCATATTAGTCCATTTTGACCTGAATGTCATGATAACATTTCTCTCACGCCCTCTGTTGGAGATGATTTTTAGGAAAACATGACTGACAGCAGGAACAAGCGTTGAAAGGAGGGAAAGCCTCCTAAAGATTTCCAGTAGAGTTCAGTTTAAAAGAAAAGAGATGTGTGAAAATGAGAGAAGGTAGTCTGTGCGTACGTGTTTCTGAATTGGATAAACATAAAACACTTTCTTTATGATTTTTAAACTCTGTATGAATATTTAATAAATGGCTTTTAACTATACTATAATGCAGGTATAAGCCGTTTAATGTACAGTATTTATCAACAATTCTAACTTCTCCTATTAAGACATGTTTTACTATACCATCATTCATTATTGGTTCCTACAGCAGCCTCTACTTACGGTTGTCCACAGGAGGAGTTATATTTATTAATTGTTTATATACCGCTTATAGGGGGACTTAAACTGCAAAAAATGAAACATTAAAAATGGACACAGTTCAGTTCTCTGCAATGTTAACAGACGGCAGGGGTTAAGCCTTTACTTGAAGTCTGATACAAGTTCAAGTGAGTGTTCGTTTGTCTTTTAACAACAGAGCTGGGGAGTAAAAATGTTATGACCAATAATCACAACGGACAGAAATATGAGAATAAGACTCCTTCAAGTATGAATCCATTAAGACTTTCTAAATGAGTTTATTTATAAAAAGTGAGTCACTGTTGAAAATCTGAGAGATTTTGTCTCTGTGGAGAAGTTATTAAACCTGGCTGGTATCCAGCAAACTCAATAAAAAAAAAATCTTGCTCTTGATTTCTGGCTTCATCTCATTTTTCATGTAACATGATGCTCATAACCTTTTTAGATTCACTGGCTGTAAACAAATATAAATGAACCTTCTCAAAACATTCATTATTTTTTATACACAAAAAGGTACTTTTTTCTATTTGTGTTTTATTTAATAATTTGTAGAAATACAAAAGACTAACTATAAAACTGTTATCAGACATATTATAAGGGGCTGTATTTTATGTCTTATTTGGGGTCTGCTGCTGTTCTTGGTGTACCTACCTGCTTTGTCAGTGTTGGCCATGGCGTTCAGCCCGATGTTGTCAAACTTGGAGCCGGCGTTCTCATCCAACAGGGAGCCGAACTGAAAAATAAACCACACAAAAATATCAACTTTCAAATCCTACAAACTGTTTTTAATGTCAGATACCTCCAAAATGTTAACTCTTAAGTAAATTAAAAAACCCCATTTTCTGAGGGTTTTATGTGGTGTTATGTGTTTTTTACATTTTAAGGACAAAATATTAATAAAATAAGATAATTGGCAGGTAAACTGATGGTGGAAATAATCATTAGCTGCAGTCCTCAAACCAAGAAGAAGCAAGTTATGCTTTAAGTTGTTTGACGCTGTCGATGTCACCATTGGGAGATACAAGGTTTTCACCTGACAGCAACTACAGTGTGTGTGAGACTGAAGCAGAGACTGATTATAGGTAAGATATTTTTTTGCTCTGCATTTGTTCCTCCTGGTTTCCATCAAATCTTCATTCAGATATTTTTTCCAGAATACTTTAAACTTTCAATGTTGTTCTTAGTTGTACTTTTGAAGTATTTCAATTAAAAAATTATAAAAACAATGTATTTTTATCTTCTCACCTCTTCGGCCGAAGCAAACATGGCTGCGTCTTTCTTTCCTTTCTTCTTCTTCACCTGTTTGGAACCTGTGAGAAGGAGCAGCGATCAATAAAGCGACAGCAGCTGGAACTCCAGTTTCAAAATAGTCACAAAAGCAGGAAGATTACTACATTCTAATGAAGGTTTAAATTAGTGGGGATAAAGATAAATAATAAACTAACCTAAAGATCCACCGAAGTCGAGTTCCTCTGAGGATTTTCTTTTCCCCTTCTTGGTACGTGGAGTTATATCTGGAGCATCCAACTCATCGTCTGAATCTGCAGAAAGATAAAAAGGTTTGATTTCTTAAGATTTTCTTCAACTCAGTAACACATTTGTCTTACAAATATGACAACAAAGGCTTCATAT